ATAAGCCCAAATAATTATAGCTATTATCCCGAAAATTAAGTGAACTTGCGTTTACCTCAAAAGAATAGTAAACTTATGCTTTTTATGTAGGAGCAATGATCAGTGCATAATTGTATATAATTTTGTACCCTTCTAACTTATGCTTTCATTATATTTTTCTAGTTAAACTTATGCTTTTAATCTCTTCTATGTTTGTTTCAGTGTATTAAGCTTTGGGACTCATTTAAGGCATTTTGGAGTAAGTTAGCTCCAAATTGTGTCTATATATCAGTCAACTTCCCAGAATGGACAATACATGCTCAGGAATAACCAACTAATGAGCCATAAATCATTGGAAAGATGTGGAAGTCTAGTGTCTGGAACATTTTAGGGTTCATGATTCCGAGTCTTCTAGAAGAAGTTATACAAGTTTTAGCAACTTAAAGTGAAATTCGACAGCATTTGCGTTATTGTGCCAAAAATGATATTTGAAGGCCTTTAAGATTTTTCCTTGAGTTGGACTACATATGGTTGGAAAGATACAACAAAGAGTTACAAGATCCATATTTTTCCAAAAGTTTCTGAATGGAGAAACAAACCCAAAAAGGAGCCTACAATCAAACTACAGTGCATTGTCATGCATGACTTATGCATGAGCTAATTGTTTTTTGTGAGGAAATTAAGTAAAGTTAGTGAAGTGAGTGTTGTAGGTACAGACAATACTCAAATTAGATTTTTACTTCCCTTAGGCCTATAAATAGTGATGTTCTCCAAGCTTACAAAAGCACCCCAAGGGGGAAGCTCTCAAACACCTCTCTAGAGCTCCTCTCCCTTCTCTCCCTCAAATTCTCTGAAGGACTGTCTTGGCGTGGACTATGCTTAGAATAAATAGATTTGCAATTAAATTCAAATCAAATACAAATATGATAATTAATGTCCTACAAATCAATAACTTACCTGTTTTACGAATTCATAATTTAGCTTATTTATGTTTTAGGTGCATAATTGGAACAAAAAATAAAAAATACATAAAAGTAAACATCAATAAATTAAAAAAGGCATGTAATCTTAAATGGTGCAAAACTCAAAGGACTTGGATCAACAACAACTTCTGAGTGGATTGCACCCTCCAAAAAAAATTGTTTAAGAAAACTCAAGAGAAAAACACTTACCTGTAAGGTAGGTACATATATATACAAGCAAAACACATTATATATGTATATATAAGGAAATGCATACATATATACATATACATATATACATGTATATATGTATATTATAATAATATTATATATTATAAATAATACAAACATATATATATATATATATGTGTGTGTGTATTATAATATATAATATATATGAGCATGTTATAATAATAATATACATGTATATATTTATATTATAATATAATATATATATATATACATATATTATACATACATAATATATGTGTATATAGGTGTATATATATGGTTATACTACATACATATATATGTATATTACAATATATAATATATATGGGTATGTTATAATAATAATATACATGTATATATGTATATTATGGGAATTTTGCATAAATGCCACATGAACTTTTAGGCATGTGCAAAATTACCACCTAAACTTTTAATTTTTATTATTAACCACCTAAACTTTACATGGTGTTGCAATGTACCACCTAGTGCTAACTCTGTTAAACTTTCCTTTAAATTTAAGGGTATTTCTGTAAATTTTCTATAACTAGAAAACTTAAAATTTCTAAAAGTAATAGAATGATAAATATATTTTTTATTCATGCATCTTCCAACACCAATTATCCACCACTACCGAGTAGCTCCCTCCCCCACCCTCTGCATACACCTTACTTTATATATCTCTCTCCCTCTCCCTAATCAAAAAGCTTTTGGGGTAGGTTGTTGAAGAATTGAGTGATCAAAAGACAGATATATTGTTTGGCATATGGTAACCTTTGACAAGAATTGAGAGTATTTGCAATATGGCTAAAGTAGGAGATGTTGTTTCATAAATAAATATTGCAGACAATCATATATTAAATATTCTTCTTCTTCGATGGAGAAAGAGAAAGAGAGAGAGAGAGAGAGAGAGAGAGAGAGAGAGAGGGATGGAGAGAGATGAATTAGGGTGTATTAAGAGATTGCAGAGGGTAGGGGAGGAGGTTAGGTTTTTTTTTAATTATTATTATTTATGTTTTAACATGATTATGTTTGTTTTAACAAATTGCAATTTTCACTATGTGAAATTTGACCTTTAGCTTCGGATAATATTCGTTGCTAAAGGCCCCTACCTACCGATGTATTGGGAACCGATGCCTATTATATAGTCATACGCTTCGGATATTATCCGTTGCGTTTATATATCTACCGCATTAGTTATGTCCTAAACACTGATGCTAAAGTGCCTTCCATGTGCCAAAAAATCGTTAACCTCCGATGCCTAAACATGCTATGACTTCGGTAGTTTTAATAATTATGATGCTAAATGTTGTTTACAACATCAGAGTTCTATACTACATTGATGCTTTTTCCGACTTACAACATCACATAATACAATAATGATGATGCCACTTCCAGTTATAGGCATCAATTGTCTTATGAGTGTTGTTGTTATTTTAAAATTTTAACTTTTGTTGTTTGTGCAAAATTAAGGTTGTTATGAACAATATCATGTACTGTTGTCCATTGCACATCAAAAAACACATAAATTTAAATATTTTCATATATCAAATTATATATCCAACACTTGCATAAATCACAAATTTTCCAACCCCACATATGATCCGTACTTGTCTAAAAGCAAAATACTAGCAACAAAAATACATAATAAAATGAAGAGAGAATGCTAATTTCAAACGAAAGGCCACTCTAGGACATGACTAGCAAAATACTAGCTAGAAAGACATGTAAAATGAAGGCCTGAACAGCTTTCCTGGGTAGTACTCTGCCACAATTTTCAGTGCTGCCAGCAGCAAGTTCATAAAGGCCGAAGCTGACCTGAAATAGCATGCAAAATCCACCGCGACTTTTAATAAATAATCAAAATTAAACAATATTATTAGTGTTAATTACATGCATAATTTTGAATTATAATTGTTAATTGGAAGGATAAACAGTGTTTTAAGGGTCTGGCAAAGCAGAAAAAGTAGAATCCTGGCAGGATCAAAATAAACAAGAATGGTCAAAAACCTTTCTGCCGCTTGTGGACTTCGAGTCTTCATTATCACTGATGGGATTCAGAGTCTCAAAACATATAACTCCTTCAAAACAGTCCTTCAATCCAAGCTTGCTAAGAGTTTTTGCCACATGGACCTTGTCCCCATTTGAGAAAATTTGTTTCATATTGTTAAGCCAGAACATCATCAGAGAAATTAAATCTTGAAGCAAATTTTTTTAGTTACCATCAACTTATATGTAACTTGCAGCTTACGAGTTTTCGATACGGCAGGCTCAGCAGCAGAGTCCTTAGGACATGGTCAGGTCTTAGTACCTCATAAGGAAATCTTCCATGAACAGAACTGTAAAAGGGGAATTTGTGAGATAATTTCATACTTACTGATATCCACCACAATTTACATGCACCGAATACTGCTCTATAGAGAAAATAGCATACAAAAGCTAGAAGACAAATGGACTCAAAACAACATTGTATGTGAAAACAGGAACATACACTTGAGATATTCTACGACAGATTTAGTTACCTTTTGAACATGGATTGAGGCAATGGCTAAGAATCCTACATTGATATATACAAAAAAAGCATAATTAGCTTACAAACAATGAATGAGGAAAAATGAATAAACTCCCTGTGGAACTCATTGAGTTTGAAGCTTACGAGTTGCTCTGCCTGGAAAAACTTTTGAACACATTACTGATGAAAACAACAACCTAGTTACTTTCACATATTTAGATAGCCAAAGATCGCAAAATATGTAAATCTCAAGCAAAGTAAATGAAAAGAAGAAGATATAGAAAAAAAAAAAAAAAAAAAAGATTTAATCTTACAAGTTGTCTTGACATGTAGTTGGGACAGAGTTCTCTGAAAAGTTATTGTAGGAAAGATCTATTATGCTGCATGCAAATTTAAAGTTCTCTATTAACAGAGATTCCAAGAAAAAAGAATATCAGAATAATTTGGTAAAATTTGTAACATGAATGACTGAATTTGCGCAGAACAGAGAGGAAATTATTCAACATTTCAAAGACAGCAGCAAGATAGAAAATTTTGGACTTAACCACTCATCATCAATACAATACCCCGGCCTTCTTATAATCATGAACCTTCAGCCGAAAAGTACTTGTATACATAACCTTATCCATTGTGTAATTCGCCTTATCTTTCGTGTAGCGTTATAATCTGTCCACCAAGTCACTATATTCTTAATCATAGACATTTATCTGTTGAAGCCTCAGAAGCACAGACAAATTAATGAGGAAAGGTTCCAATAAACATGTAGGTATGCACACTACATGCGTGCTAGTGGTATACATATGATCTGAGTAATCTGAGTATATGTAACCTCAAGCAAAAGTAAAGAGAATGAATAAACAGAAGTATTACAAAAGTTTCAGACTTGTCATATTAGAGATATATTCAGGCATTGTTCCTCTTATATTGCAGCTCCTTAACATCCTGCAATTTGAAGCAACCCATATAAGAAAATAAATGTTATATACTTGTAGGTTATTCTAATCAGAAAGGATACTAATGACAATTTAGAGTCTTTCTGAAAAAGTGTATATGTATTCATCAAGAATTGCCCATTATATGGACAGAATGCAAGTTAATTAGGAAAGAACACAGCATCTTCAGCCCCTAAAATCAGCTAACCTACCATATATACATTTATCTAATTATAGCCTACAGCTAGTATATCCTAATTAAGGAAAGAATCTGCTGGTATTTAAATTTGTAAATCTGTATAATTGGCTGTCAATTTGCTGGCATTAATCATGTAGTTATTTCCTTTGACATCCCCCCTAAAATTGATGCTGGTGAATCGAGAAGCATCAATTTGCCAACGAGGAAATGATGGCGCTGGCGTGGCATGGATTTGTGAAGATATCGGCAATCTGCAAAGTAGTGGAGGCATGTGGAAAGGTGATAACATGATGATCATAGGCTTCTCGGATTGAGTGAGAGTCAACCTCGATGTGCTTGGTGCGTTCATGATAGACGGGGTTGGCTGCAATTTGGATGGCACTTGTGTTGTCAGCATGCAATGGAGTAGGATGAAGTGGATTGAACCCAAGCTCTGTGAGGAGAGCACGCAGCCAAATGATCTCAGAGCACGCAGCAGACATGGCGCGATACTCTACCTCAGTGGATGATTTAGAGACGTGGTTTTGCTTCTTGTATTTCCAAGAGATAAGGGCATCACCAAGAAACATACACCAGCCAGTAGTAGATCTCCTGGTGTTTGGGCAACCGGCCCAATCAGCGTCACTATAGGCTTGGAGCTGAAGGGAAAAACCTGTAGGGAAGAACAAGCCACGACTAGGTGTGCCAAGAATATAGCGAATGATGCGGCGAACGGCAGAGAGATGGTGATGCCTTGGGGCTTGCATGAACTTTCTGACAGTGTGAAAAGTATAAGAGATGTCTGGTCAGGTGATGGTTAGATAGATAAGACTACTAACCAGCTTCCGATAGGTAGTAGGATCCTCAAGAAGCTCCCCGTCGTCACGTCAATATTTCACATTAAGTTCCATGAGGGTGTCAACTGAACCAGATCTTGATTGTACTTGTGTTGATGCAAGAAGAGACCATGAGGTTGATGATGGATCTCTAAACCCAAGAAATAAGTGAGCTGACCAAGATCTTTCATGTGGAAAGTAGAATGCAACAAAGTCTGAACTGCAAAGATTGCCTCCAAGTCAGAGCCGATGATGACGATATCATCCACATAAACAAGGAGGACAACGATACCCATGGATGTCCGTTGTAGAAAAAGAGAGGAGTCATACTAACTCTGAGTGAAAGAAAAACCAAGCAAAGTGGAGCGAAACTTTTCAAACCATACTCACGGGGCCTGCTTCAGACCATACAAAGAACGTTTCAGTTTGCAAACATCATTAGGTGAGGAAGTAGGCATACCAGAGGGAAGTTTCAAGTAAATTAGGTGAGCCAGGGGTAAAGCCGCCAATTTCCCTTATATATATTATATATGTGCGTATGTATATGTATACATATATATATATATTATATATACATGTATATACGTGTATATATGTACACTATAGTATATGTGTATGTAAGTATAATATAATAATACTAATAATATAAATTATTAGTATTACAATATAAAATATGCATTTTATACATTGGGTGAGCATGAGACTACTTAATCCTCACTTTCCCCATGGGTTTAGTAGTCCCCTCCTAAGTAGGTGTTTTTGGTGGGTCCGGTATTAGCAATCCCATCTAAGACTAGGATTAGATAAAAACAAACATGGTACTAAATTTAGTCCAAGCTAGGCCAAGCCAAGCTTGTGTAACAAACAACCCCTAAGTTCTCAAACACACCATAAGGGGGGAGCTCTCAAACACCTCTCTATAGCTCCTCTCCCTTCTCTTTCTCAAATTCTCTAAGTTCTCAAACACCTCTCCCTTCTCTTCATCAAATTCTCTAAGTTCTCAAACGCACCCCCCCTTCTCTTCCTCAAATTCTCTAAGTTCTGAAACATCTCTCCCTTCTCTTCCTTAAAATTCTCTTAGTTTTTCTTTAAAGTTATCAATTGTTGTAACAAAACCCTTTTGCTTCTTAGCTGTAATTTATTTTTATTGTCATGTAAATTCTTTTCTTAAGTTTTCAAGTTTGATTAGTTTCCAAGTTTCAATTATGATTCTTATTCTTATTCGCTATGCTTATAAGTTAATATGCTTGTTTGAATGGTTGATCACCATTAACACTTGTATGGTAGCTATCTTGGTTGGAATTAAGAGTAGAGACCATATGCTTTAATTCAAATTGAACTATGAATAGGTGTGGACATTTGACAACAGGGATTAAATACATGCCTGGTTGTTTAAAAAAAATTTCTATGCTTAATGGATTTCTAATGCTTAATTTAGGTTCGACAACAATGATCTAATTAGGGAGTTAAGAATACAGGGTAAGGACCAAACATCATAGCTTAATCATATACTTTAGCTAGAATCAATCTAAGAATCTAAATTGAACTTGTTAACTTATTTGATTGAGTTCATTTCTTTTCTTTCTTTCTTGTTTTATGTTATTTTCTTTCTTGTTTTTTGTTTTGTGCACAGAATCAAATTGAATCAATCTATAATCAATCCTCGTGGAATCGACCTTGCACTTACATATGCTATACTACCGAACAGCTCGTGCACTTGCGAGTATCACAATTTGAGGATGCAATTGAATCAATTTTAGCGCAACTAATCCGACAACAACAAGCAACCTAATACTTTAAACAGTTTAATGAAAAAGAATACATTAGGATCTAGTGATAATGGGTATCAAGTAGGTCGAATCGTGCAAACTAGATGATTCAAATTGAGGAATGAGTGATTTCGACCTGAATTAAATCCAAACTCGACCCAGCCACTCATAGAATATACTATTATGTGGCGAACCAAACACATTAAAACCAATTCCAATTAATAGGCCAAACCCAAGTTAGTGATGAGTTGAGTCACCATCCACTAGGAATGTACAACATTATTCACAAACCAAAGACACTACTTAAGACAATGCCCAATAGTAAAAAAAACCATGGAAGATTGAATCTTCTTTACAAACTTCTTATTCTAAATAATTTCATGTTTTTTCTCCCGCCAAAGACACCACTCAAGACAAGGTCCACATGCCACAGAAGACAACGGCCACGTTATATATGCTCATGTCATATATGTTAACTTAAAGCACAAACCATTATAATAAGATTAAATAATAATTGGAATATAGTACCAGAAAATAAATAATACCCAATTGAAACCTAACATTCTCATTTCCGCAAGACATATTCTATATAAATTGGCCAACATTGTGGGATATAATTAGGCATCAGTTAGAACAACAAATTAATTTGTATTTTGTAGTTAAAGAAGTACCTAAGAAATAAAAATGGCAACTTTTGCTTCTAGGTTTCAATCTTTGGCCTTAGCAATGTTGGTTATTTCTGGGTTAATGTTGATGTCCAGCAACAAAGTGATGGCACAAAGTTGCAAAGACACAAGCGTTTGTAGATATTGTTGGAAGTTTGAAAGCAAATGTCCCACATCATAGGAAACAAAATGTTTTACATGCTTTATTATAAGCATGAAACCTTTAACACCAATTAAATAAGATTGGTGGGCTGATGAGCTTGGTAGTGAAGGCTATACACGGTTGGCTTGCTTGATTAATAATATTTAATTAATCAAGACTTCCTCCTGAAAAATAAAAGAAAGACACGTAGTCAGAAAATAAAATTATTTTATTTTATTTTATTTTTTGGATTTCTTTTAGCAGAAGTTAAATTCAATTTATTCGTCTAATGATCATTAGAAAGCTTTTATTATAGTGCTACAATTTATAAAAGGCACAATAAATTATGGATTGCATTACACAAGTTATTCACCAGTTTTAGAAGGATATAGTGATGCAAACTAGATTTCTAGTGAAAGTGAAACGAAATCCACTAGTGGCTATGTTTTTGTGTGTGGAGGGGCAGCAACAGCTTGGAAATCAACTTAGCAAAAGTGTATAGCACGGTCGACTATGGAATCTGAATTCATAACTTTGGACAAGGCTGCTAAATAAGCAAAAGGGCTGCTGCTGAAGAAGCAGAATAACTATGAAACTTTATGGAAGATATACTGTTATTGCCTAAACCAATAACTGCACTATGTATTCATTTTGATAACATGGCAGCTATTGCAAGAGCCAAAAATAAGATATACAATGGCACGACAAGGCATATAAGGTGAAGACATAGCACTATTAGACAGTTGCTCAAAGATGGAATAATCTCATTAGATTATGTAAAGTCGAGGGAAAACATAGCTGATCCTTTGACAAAAGGCCTAACTAGAGAGCAAATTAAATATGTGGCGAGGGGAATGGGTTTAATGTCAATTTCACAATGAGCTAACCTAATGGAATCTTAACCTAGCTGATTGGAGATCCTATGGTCTAGGTTTAATAGGCAAACTGGTTGGGAACGGCTCATGGTATGAACTCACTATTTACTCATTCCTATGACTAAGGTGTGCTATCTGCATAAGTTTTTAGGGTATGTTTTATACAAAACATTTAATGACATTTTTTTATATTCAAAAGAAGTATGGAAGAATACTTTTAATTAACATTACCTTTATAGGAGTAAATGTGGGTCGTATTTGTAAGAATTACATGGCTACATTCTCTAAAACTCTAATGAAACCGGGATCTGTTCAGGACCAAAATGAACACAACCACATGAACTTAAGTGTGTATAGATTTAATGCATGTGTGGCGTATTGTCTCGGTTTACTACAAAACGATGAACAATTCAAGGTTATGAATTCCACTGATTCATTAAGTAGATCTAATACGTCTACACCAGGGAAAGTTCAAGTCCAAAAGACACTTATCCTAATGTGTGTTTTATCTAATTTCCTCTCCAGTTTTTTGAGTCGGCATATATTTTTTAAAAACAAATTTGTGTTTCAAATGTGGGGTATTGTTGGAAGTTTGAAAGCAAATGTTCCACGCCGGAGGAAACAAAAGGTTTTACATACTTTATAAGCATGAAACCTTAACACCAATTAAATAAGATTGGTGGGCTGATGGACTGATGGGCTTCGTAGTGAAGGCCATACATGGTTGGCTTGCTTGATTAATAATATTTCATTAATCAAGACATGGGCCTTGGGCCTTGGGCCTCTTGGGGTCTCTAAAAAATGAAAGAGAGATACCCAGTCCGAAAATAAAATAAAATTGTTCTTATCTTTTCGCCTATTAAACTTCAAGCACTGAGAAGAGGCGAAATTCTGTCTTTAGGACATTGCAAATCTGCAAGCCTCTATCTTCAATAAAAGTCAGTATTCTGTACTTAATTTCAACTTACACATTTATACAATTTTGTATTTTACTACTGTCTACATATTATAATCCTGTATTAATATAGTGATCCTATAACATAAGCTATTTATTGATTTTTTCTAACAGATCTGGCATCCAAATGCGCATAATATGTTAGAAAATCGGGGCCGGAGGTTGATTCATCACCGGCATGCTGTGCCGTACCTGGTGAAGAAAGCGAATGTGAAATGCGTATGCAAGCTTGTGTCGAATGAGATAGAAGATCTGATTGACATGGAGAAGGTGGGCTTTGTGGCTCGCTCCTATGGCAAGAAAGTAGCACCAGGAACCAACTGTGGAAGCAAGTTCACCCTTCTTTCTTTAATTTTTTTTAAAAATATTTGTTGTGTCTATTAATGTATACTTCTACAAAGATTTAATAATGTTTTTTTTTAATGTATTTGGGCCATGTTATACCGTTCACAAAGCATGAAGCCTGGAAAGCCTATGCATGAGAGAGGCATGCTGTTGGTTAGTGCAACTTGTCTTACTAATAGCTAGATTTTCCATAGTGCAAACTACCTCAATGCTTCTGCCTGCCTCCCAGAATTTTATTTTTATTTTTATTTTTTTAAAACAGAGACTTCCAGAAATGGGTTTTCGCCATTTTCATTTAGTACATAAAAATATAGTGGAAATTCTCTTTCCTTTTTCCTTTTAGTAAGAATAAATTATTGACGAGTCATTGAGCAACCGAGTATAATATAGAAGATTTTACGGTAAATATGTACTACTGACTTGTCAACATATATATAGATATATATATATATATGTATATATATGAAATAAAAATTATAAATACACAAAAAAAAAAGCACATATTTACAGTACTTACGGCTATTTACATTGACTTTAATTTTACT